TAACACTTACAATCGATTTTTCTTTTTTCCTCTTTGCTTTAGAAAAATACTATATGGAGCTACCTTAAACATTCGTCTATAAATGAATTTTTCAGGTTTTGAAAAACATTCATATACCTATAATGCGGGATGTAGGAGTAGGTCTTTTCTGTGGTTGAGATGCAGGAGCTGGTCTTGTCCACAGCTTGTAAAGACTGTAAATGATAAACGCATTTCAGGATTATTTCAGGTTATGTTAAAAGTTTCTATGACTATATTGTGTTAGCTGTGTTATATGTTCGGTGTATTTTGAAATAAATTGAAGCACGGTAAGTTGTAATGAGCATCATCTCGAAAAGAAGATGATGTGGTATCGATCGGCCAAATAAGAATTACCCATCACCAAACAATGTTGGACTTATAGGAATCAACATGAAGTCGCTGGCCCAGAGTGCATCAAACTATTCTAGTCGGTCAGACATCTCAATACAATGAACTAACGTCGGAACAGTTTGACGTTGTTGTTTCTTTTCAAGAAAGAAAATCCGTCATAAGAAAAGCTTGCTTCAATAGATGTCACTCTCTTCAATATTGGATACTTCTTGTTTACTCGAGTAGAGTAATACTTTAATGTTATTCACAGAATGACGAAGAAGGAATTGATTGATTGAGTTAAGCACTATATTCAGCCCTTTACACAGATTAGCCGGCCAAACGGTAAAATATTGGGACGTATACTACTGAGTTTTAGATGGTTTTGGGTGATCCAAGATCTCAGTTTTCTAACATCTCATATAGCTTTAGTGCGGAGATGTACTAACGATTTGAAATTGCCCCAACTTACCTTCACTATAAAGCAGGTGTTTCGACTTCTTTCTGCGAGCTAATATAGGTGTATTACTTCTGAAGTACTCGGTGTGGCAACTGAATATATCGAGTTAAAATKCTGAGTATATGATGCCGTAATATAAGAAGTTCATTTGCAATCAATAATTGGTGGAGCGCGATGACTMGCAGTCGTATTTGGGAATGAGCTAAGCGTCTATTATGCTTTGCTTTGTGACGCCAAATATCAATAAACTTCATTGAAGCGAGACCCTATATTCAATAATATTTGAATCTTTCTTCAAAGACACTAAAATGTTTGAATTCATTTTATTTATTCAAAAGTATAGTATTACATCCAATATAGAAAAATTAAAATCAAAATAGAATCCATATTTTTTTCGTAAACACCATTTCACTTTTGGTCTCATATGCAATTTTTTGCGTAACGCTTTCCTCCAAAGACTGTACATCCTTACATGTACAGGTATATTATTTGGTATATTCCTGCCGAGCCAGTGCTTGGTGCAAAGTTCAACATCTTATTTTTGCAAGTATATCATTTCCGTACAAGCAACGTACTATAATCCGGTACGAATTATAGTGTTTGTTCACGGAATGACGCACAGTGATCAGTAGGTGTCTGGGAAGATGACCCTGTAGCCGACCCTCAACTTGTGTCTTTCTATAGTTTATGAATAATAAGTTGTTTTGACTTCCAATATCATTTATCGACTTCACCCAATCATGATTATTGTTTTAATTTGCTAAAACTCCAACAAGGTTCGCGATTGGACATGTGATGCACGTATGTAACGAGTAGATCCGCACTGGCTCCGACTCAGGAATCTCGATACCATTGCCGGATTTCAAACCGTGGGGGACTGGGCAAAATCCTCTAAATATATAATCATACATAGAAAGAAAGCACTTGTTGAGAAATGCAAATTTCTAAAATTTGATGTAAATCAGTTTAATAGTGAACGAGTTACAGCCTTTCATGTGCAATCGTAAGTAAACACGTTTGCATGAAAAAGTCTTCGCAAAGCATCTTGAGATGGTTAGATAAATCAGATTTCCTTTTAAAAGTCTTGCCACAATAAGAACGTTTTAAGGCCTTTTCTTTCCTTTTTCGTCATGCCTTTTAAGATGTATGTTGAAAGAGCTTTTACTTGCATATTTAACCTTACAATGAGGACATTCAAACAACTTTTCGCCCGTGTGAAATCTGGTATGATACGTGAAAGACGTCCTGGAACGAAACTGCTTCTCGCAATAGGAACATTTAAATGGTTTCTCTACAGAATGTATGCGACGATGCTCCTTCAAATGGCATGACTGCTTAAACTTTTTTCCACACTGAGAGCATTCAAATGGCTTCTCTCCTGTGTGCTTTCTCAGATGCTGCCTCAAACTACCTCCACTCACAAATTTCATGTCACAATACGARCATTCAAATGGCTTCTCTCCACTATGGATTCTTAAATGTATTTTTAAACTGTCTTTGTTCAAAAACGTCTTTTCGCAATTAGAACATTTAAATATTACTCTATTGACGTCATGTATTCTAAGATGACTCTTTAAAAGTTCGAGTCTTGCAAAATGATCTTCACATTGAGAGCACTTGAATGGCTTCTCAGTAGAGTGTGTTTGGATATGAGTATTCAAATTGCCTCTGTGCACAAACYTTCTTTTACACAGATGGCATTCAAAGGATCTGACTCCTTCGTGAGTTCTCAGATGACTTTTTAAATGATCATTTGATTGAAATCTTTTCTCGCAACGCGTGCAYTTATAGGGCCGCTCTCCAGTATGAACTATAAGATGTCGCTTGCAACCGCTTTTTCTGGAAAACGACTTCCCGCAGTGTGGGCATACAAATGCCGTTTTCTTTCCAGCGTGCGCAGATTTGAGATGATCGGTCAAATGCGATCTTAATGTGAATTTTATCTCACAGTGAGGACATTGATATCGCTTCCTTCCGTTGTGCCATTTTAGATGTCTGTTTAGGCTAAGTTTTGAACTAAAGTTCTTCTGACAACTTGAACATTCAAACGNTAATAAGTTGTTTTGACTTCCAATATCATTTATCGACTTCACCCAATCATGATTATTGTTTTAATTTGCTAAAACTCCAACAAGGTTCGCGATTGGACATGTGATGCACGTATGTAACGAGTAGATCCGCACTGGCTCCGACTCAGGAATCTCGATACCATTGCCGGATTTCAAACCGTGGGGGACTGGGCAAAATCCTCTAAATATATAATCATACATAGAAAGAAAGCACTTGTTGAGAAATGCAAATTTCTAAAATTTGATGTAAATCAGTTTAATAGTGAACGAGTTACAGCCTTTCATGTGCAATCGTAAGTAAACACGTTTGCATGAAAAAGTCTTCGCAAAGCATCTTGAGATGGTTAGATAAATCAGATTTCCTTTTAAAAGTCTTGCCACAATAAGAACGTTTTAAGGCCTTTTCTTTCCTTTTTCGTCATGCCTTTTAAGATGTATGTTGAAAGAGCTTTTACTTGCATATTTAACCTTACAATGAGGACATTCAAACAACTTTTCGCCCGTGTGAAATCTGGTATGATACGTGAAAGACGTCCTGGAACGAAACTGCTTCTCGCAATAGGAACATTTAAATGGTTTCTCTACAGAATGTATGCGACGATGCTCCTTCAAATGGCATGACTGCTTAAACTTTTTTCCACACTGAGAGCATTCAAATGGCTTCTCTCCTGTGTGCTTTCTCAGATGCTGCCTCAAACTACCTCCACTCACAAATTTCATGTCACAATACGARCATTCAAATGGCTTCTCTCCACTATGGATTCTTAAATGTATTTTTAAACTGTCTTTGTTCAAAAACGYCTTTTCGCAATTAGAACATTTAAATATTACTCTATTGACGTCATGTATTCTAAGATGACTCTTTAAAAGTTCGAGTCTTGCAAAATGATCTTCACATTGAGAGCACTTGAATGGCTTCTCAGTAGAGTGTGTTTGGATATGAGTATTCAAATTGCCTCTGTGCACAAACYTTCTTTTACACAGATGGCATTCAAAGGATCTGACTCCTTCGTGAGTTCTCAGATGACTTTTTAAATGATCATTTGATTGAAATCTTTTCTCGCAACGCGTGCAYTTATAGGGCCGCTCTCCAGTATGAACTATAAGATGTCGCTTGCAACCGCTTTTTCTGGAAAACGACTTCCCGCAGTGTGGGCATACAAATGCCGTTTTCTTTCCAGCGTGCGCAGATTTGAGATGATCGGTCAAATGCGATCTTAATGTGAATTTTATCTCACAGTGAGGACATTGATATCGCTTCCTTCCGTTGTGCCATTTTAGATGTCTGTTTAGGCTAAGTTTTGAACTAAAGTTCTTCTGACAACTTGAACATTCAAACGCCTTCCCTCCGGTGTGCGATTTAAGATGTCTATCCAAGATATGTTTTGAACTAAAGTTCTTCTGACAACTTGAACATTCAAACGCCTTCCCTCCGGTGTGCGATTTAAGATGTCTATCCAGGCTACGTTTTGAATTAAAGTTCTTCTGACAACTTGAACATTCAAACGCCTTCCCTCCGGTGTGCGATTTTAGATGACGATTCAAATGACTCTTGCCATTAAACCTCTTATTACATCGAGGGCACTGAAATGACTTCTCTCCAGTATGTAATTTAAGATGCTTATTGAGATTACCTTTTGATGAATATTGTTTCTGGCAAGAGGGGCATTGAAAGAGATTTTCTTCCCTGTGTAATTTTAAGTGCTTACTTAAAGTGCATTTCCAATCAAATGATTTTTCACACAGRGGACATTTGTAGGCCTTCTGGTCAGTACATTTATGTGTTTTGAGGTGAGCTTTGAAAGGTGCCTGGTGCGCAAACTTTGTCTTGCAATAWGAACAATCGAAAGGTTTCCCTTCAGAGTGCGTTTTCATGTGATAATTTAGCTGAGATTTTGCAGTGAAGATCTTTGTGCAATGAGGACAATTGAACTGTTCAGTCCTTGAATGTGTTTTGAGATGARCYTTGAAGGGGGCTTTGTGTACAAACTTTCTTTCGCAGAAATTACACTGAAATTGCTTTTTTTCTGTATGTTGTCTTGGATGTTCGTCAAAGTTACTCTTGTTTACAAAGTGTTSWGYAYGCTGTGAACATTGATATACCTCGTCACTCTGYCTTTGATCCTGTTGYGGTAGTTCTTTGTCCTTATTTGGGATGTACCCTATWGAGAAGTCTGAATCTTCTGGRATATTTTGATCATTACCAAGAGGCATCTCAAACTCCTCTAATAAGGCCAACATGGCTGATATTTCATTCAAAACTAGACTCTGTTCCTGCTCTTCTTGACAATTATCAGTGACTTCRCTCATGGCTTCACGRTTGTTTAGAGTTGATGTATTTGAGTTGGTATTTGTAGAAGATGCATTGATGTACATGGAAGTACAACCATTATTGCAGCCATTATCATCTGTCTGTGWACTRGTACTGCAGGTCTGTTTTAATACTATTGGTTGACCTTCAATGACACCTCCATCCAGTATTGAACCCTGCATTCAAACACTTAAATTAGAAAATATGAAGGAATGACAAATAGTTTATTTGTGTTGACTGCATTGCTGTTTGTATCAAGAGCATCTATAATATACCCCTTGTATTTGACATCATCTGGGGGTCAAAACATCCCTTGTATTTGACATCATCTGGGGGTCAAAACAAAAATATATTGTTTCTCCGGGGAACAAAAATTCATTGTCTTTTCTCCAACAAGTTGCAAGGGATCCAGAGAAGGGTGAACATAATTAAAAATTATCAGCTAATCTACACCTACTTGCAGAAATGTTGTCATAGAAAATAGAACATTTGAATTTAGTAAAAAGGAATAAATTAAAACAAGACAAAAGAAAGCGTTCAGCCTCAGTGATCTTCTTTTGTCTTTTTTAATTTATTCCTTTTTACTAAATTTTACAAATGTCCTATTTTCTATGACAACGTTTTCGCAAGTAGGTGTATATACACTATCGGGAATTTTGACATTAACTACATCCAGAAACCTATAAGGGACTTGAAACGTATAACACTGTGCCAACCGTTGGAATATTCAAATCTAATTTGCATCTCATTTCCTTATTTTACCTTATTTGGAACAATTAAATCTAACCTATTGCCAACCAGAATGGGCCTAAATMTCTTATCCATTCATTTTGGAATTTGTAATGAGGTTTGAATATTCTGACGCTTGGTACTAAAGAAATGTACGGGCGTTACACGTTTCAAGTCCCTGGTAGGTTTTTGCTGCATCATAGTTTGATTGCTTAATTGTTCTTGAACCTCTCAGACATAATATTACTGATTTGACCAGATTGAAGGAACATTTTACCATATATTTGGAATATATTTGCTTGAATTCTAATATTTATTAGTTTAGCTAGTCATAGGTTACATAGCCCAACCTTAGATTTACATTTTATCAATATATATGTCTATCTATGTAATGTATTATGTTGCATTTGAGAATGATACAGAAGTCATTTGATCTGTTATCATAACTAAAAGCTGTTTCACTTATTCAGATTCAGCATTTAGCTTGCTGTGTTATAAAGAGAAGCAAAACCAGTCTTTACATTCCTTTTTTTATGGCTTTAAAAGTACAAAATTAAATTTAATTACCTTCTATTGATTGAGTAGTGAGACTAAATTCTTACAATAACATAACCTATTTATAGGAAATCTTTTAGGAAATCTTTTGCACCAAAATAGTCATGTTGGAATACTTCGTTAGAAATCATTAATTGATTTGAAAAGTCTAAAAAATAATAGATGAGGTGACGGTTTTGTCCGCCATTTTGGACGGGTAGGCATAGTGTCGCAAAATAACAAGGAATGACCGGGAAATCGATGTCAAATAATTCTCGCTGAATTCAAATTCAGAAAGAATTATCATTTATCTAGCCCGACTGAACGCTCTCAGAGTGTCTAGTTTCCGTTCTTTCATTATTAGTGTTATTCCTAACATAAATGTCTTCTCATTCCCCCTTAGTCAATGTTGCCGATGAGACGTATCAGTACTTTAAATAATCAATGTAGCTGCCATTGAATCACGTAAAAAGCTTTTGTATTCAAAGCCAATTAAGCTAGTAATCATTAAAATAATACATATTTTTTTATTTATGCTTGAATTCTACTCTATAAACGCCTTTGATTGATTTATGCTTGAATTCTACTCTATGAACGCCTTTGATTTGAATCAATAATAGGTTCACATCTATTGATCTCACTCTAACTCGCTACTCAACGAATACGAAGTTTGAGGGAGGGGAGATGCAAGGAGATGTACGTGTACACAGTTGACTTACATCGCCAGTAGGCCACTTGTGTTCTCCAGTCACTTTGTTGTAGATAAACAAAGTCTGACCTGATTTACACTTGTAGTTAATCCAGTTAGTTTCCATTTCGGACCTCTACAACACAAAATATGGTACAAGTATTCATTTTCTTTGGTTAATAACGAAAGACGTAAAGTACGAAGTGTCGTACGTATTCCATATATGGTATTAACTAACAGGGGTATAGCTAGGTCCCTAACAGAGCGAACAGAAGCACAGGCGTCCCAGGCTGGTATCTTGTGGCTTATTAATGGCGCGAGCATTCAGTGGTTCGAACCACGGCCGAGACCTTTAAAAAAAAATTTTTTTCTGTTTTTTTTTTTCCTTCACAAAATGGATCCTTATGTAGTTACGATATTTTTTCTGAATAAAATTTTTTAAAGCTGTTTTATATTTTCTCACCCCACGTAAGAAAAAACTACATAACGTAACTACATAAGGATCCATTTTGTGAAGAAAAAAAAAAAMMRAAAAAAAAATTTTTTTTTAAAGGTCTTAAAGCGGTTCGGCCGTGATTCGAACCACTGAACGCTCGCGCCATTAATAAGCCACAAGATACCAGCCTGGGACGCCTGTGACAGAAGCACCTCAAGCGAATAGCGGTCCCTAAGGAATCCAAATTTAACGGTGCTATTAGCAATGCAAAATACTTTAAATGTCACAAACAATTCGTTGTTTGCCAGCGTAATCTCTCGTGGTCAAGTTAGTTAAGGCGCTTTACATTTGTAGTCGAAGGGTTAGGTTTAGGGAAAAGGACGGGTCAGGCTATAAAATGTTWAATTCATAATTCTAAGTTRAAATTTTATAAGAAAATTTTTAATAAGTTAAGGCGTAGCTAAAAAGTTCGAATAAGTCGATAAAAAACTGTAGAAAAATATACAAGTGAAAAAAGTATGGACCCCCTTTTCGCTTGTTAGGTGCTTCTATTCGCTTGTTAGTTGTGCCATCTACAAACCTAGATGAATTAATCCACGGGTAGCCCACGAGCTTGGGAATCTCCACAGGGAACCCATCGATTCAAGGAACGAAAAATGCACCCAGGTTTCTGATCTTTTCTGACCGTACATATATTTAGGAATCTCATGGGAGGAAACGGAAAAACAAACAAAAACAACATGAAACGCCACTTTTCACGAATCCATTTTTAGAAAGTAACAAAAATATAKTGAAATCAAAGAAAATAGATGATTTCGTTACAATCCTTGTAGCTAAACACTTTCCGTACAATTTCTTCGAAAACCAAACGAACTTTGTACATTTAATTGTGAGATTACTCATCACAAATATATATTTATTTTCAGAACTATATTCAAATTCTTCAATAAGGGTACAAATGTTAGTATTACATCTGTTGGGTGTCTTTGTTCCTTTTTTGAACTGWAAGRAGTTTTTCTTTTTTTGCACGGTCTCTTGACTTGCCAAGGTCTAAACTTTCTTTTTTCTTGGCCGCAACCTAGAAGCCAAAATGAAGCATCAACATATAAACTTTATGTTTTCTAGCTGTGGGGAAGACCCGACGAATCCCTTTTAGCGGATAAAATCCATCCAAAATCTACGCAGTGGTAACCATGGTTACTAGTCAATTTATGGTTAAATTTGATTGACTGAACTTAAAAAAATTGCCCATTCAAAGCAAGCGGTATATTATGAAATACACAGTGTAATACACTATGAAAGAGGAGTTGAAATAACAATTCTTTCGATCATTTACCTCGATAGTTTTCGCCATGCGAGCATCACGGTTATGAGTCACAAAGCTGGTAGCACGACACGTAACCTTGGGTATCACGTGACTGACACGCCCAGTCCGACCAACACGATGGATGTAGTCGACAACAGAGGTTGGAAAGTCGAAATTAATCACGTGTGTTACCTGAAATTAATAGGCCATCATTACAAAGATGATTCATAATTTGATGGCTGAGATATACTTACGTCACTAGTATCCAGTCCCCTGGAAGCGACATCGGTGCAAATTAAAATATCTGAGACGCGTTTCTGGAAGTCTTCGAACAGTTGACAGCGTATCTAAATTAACCGGGAAATGGAATAGAAGATAACATTTGTCTTTCAATTCACTTGTAATTACGATTGCGTTTACTTTGATTACATTTCGCGATCGGTTTTCGCTTGATATAAGTTCTTGCGATTACGTTTATTTTAATTAAATTTTGTGATTTTTATGTATTTTTGCGATTGCTATTCTTGTGTTATTATTCTATTATTTTGAAATCCATGTTAACGTTCATGCACCTTTAGAAAGAATTTTCGCGGATATCATATAACGTCATACCTCAGGTGGAATATTCCCATGCAGACGTATAAATGAAAAGTGCATTTTGTCAAGGTAATGCCCCAGCCAATCACAGGAAGACGCTGAGTTACAAAAAACTACCGTGCGTCCTCCCTGTCGGGAGTCTTTTTGCAACAGCTCTACTAAACGTTCTGTAAAATAAAGACATTAAACCCGTGAAACAGAATGTGATAGGTGAAATGGAAAATAGAGAAAATTGAAAAAGTTTGGAATTAGACAAGGGTATTAAAATGTCTAATGGTTTAGTACTTGAATTTCGCGATACTAGTTCCTATGGGGAGAGGGGTGAGCCATCTCACCTGCTTTGTCTTTTTGATTTATCTTCACAAACATGTGGCGCACGTGGGGCAGTACCCTGTGGAGTCCTGATGTGCACTTGGTCATATTCTAGACAAACCGATTTTATCATTCATAATTAGTCTTTTATAAATAGCAAAATATGAAAATAGCAAAACAGGCGAGAAAAATATATACTGTACAAAGAGTGTGCCATGAATCTGGTTTATTTACCGGGACAATCTCGTTCAGAGTGGAGACAAGAAGTTCATCGGGTAGCGTTGCACCGACGATGGTGACTTGTGTATCGATGGGGAGTTGATTTGGTAAAGGTGGCTTTGATTCACGGACCTGAAAATGAATAAAAGAACAATCAGTGGATGTTCAACGAATGAAAGAATAAACAAACGAAAGATAAATACGACGTACATTGATTGTGTGCAGTATTTCCATGGAAAGTTTTTTAAACGAGCTGTCGAACATGGTGTCGGCTTCGTCTATGACAAGATGCGTCAAATCACTAAAGAACAATCGATCTGAAAAAAAAACGCCATCCATTTCAATGCAATGTTATCACAAGTAACCGTTGCTTGTCAGTTGATACAAAATATCTACCTTTTTGCCTGTATTTCAGCAAGGTTCCAGGAGTTGCTACCACCAAATCAACGGGGTTCTCCAGGTCCTTACGAATCCATTTCTAATTTAGATATACAAATAAAGACACAAGACATGGTTGGAAAAGACTTCAGTAATATCATTCTAATGGATTTGCGCTGTGTAATGTCCACCATACTTGTTTTACTAGTTTGATATACTAGTTTTACCTGTTTGCGTCCTCCTATGACTCCCATTGATCTAAACTTTGCATGGTGACTAAAAGCTTTGGCAACTTTCTGGGAAAAGATACATATATACTTTGAAGATACTATGTATAGATTGTAGGGACTGAAATTACTAGACATTAATTGCTGTCAATCAACACTCGTCACCATATTAGGGCATTCCATCCATATATGAAGTCATAGTTAAAATCATTATCATTGATACTGTCATTGAAAATAGGATATTTCCACCTTATTTGGTATACATAATTTATATAACTCACCAAGACTTGCACAGCAAGTTCCCGCGCTGGTACAACTACGCATACGCGAGGTCTGTTTAATCTTGCCACAATGCCGTGTCTCTCTTCTTCTTCTCGTAAATGATGGACGAGCGGAGCAAGATAGGCTATTGTTTTACCTGAACCTGTGTAGGGTTTATAATATCAGTGATATAAAATCACAAAACGCTGTTGGGCTAAAAGTCAAACTATAAGGGCATAAAAAGGAGGATATTAATACGAAAACTGGTCTAATAAAATAACAAAGGTTTCAGTTCCAAATTACTGTTTGCTCTGAAAAATTATGGTTTCCTTTGCGGCGAAAATTGCATAATAATCGACATGATAAATTTGATTCAAATTTTCGCAGAACTCGAGTTCCCGTTCGTTCTTGGCTGCGATTATGTATTTTTTTTTTCAAACTGGACAACATTTTTTACAGACGTCGCAAATGTCTTGACGACTCATTTGCATGAGTCGACGTTTCAGACAAAGTTAAGTTTGCAAAGCATTCTGGGGGCTGCAGTATTCGTGCAAACAAATTTTCTATATATTAGGGAATGGGTGTAACTAACCTGTCTGCGCAGCAGCCAATACGTGATTCCTCAGGAGTATTTTCGGAACAGTAACCATCTATAAAGTATTACAATAAAGATGAATATTATGAATCTAGCCAGGAAGGTTGTTGGGCTTCCTGTCTTGCAACTACCTGTATCACAGTTGGCTTAGTGACGTTCATTCCGTCCAACGCCTTTAGAACATCTTGACGTAGTCCCAGGGCCCCAAATGAAGACACTCGTTGCTTAAAGTCGATGCTATCGTCAGGGATAAAGGCTGGGTTCTAGTTAGAGTAAAGAGAAAGGTATCTGCATGTTAGCAAGTTGTCTCTACAACAGCGTGTTGTTCTACTCATTTGTCTCAACTATAGATATTTACCTTCATTGAAGGTTCAATGATTGTCTCTCTTGGTCCTGACGACACGGAAGCCGATGAATCAAGTGCTGGTTTATTTTCTTCCTTGTGTTTGCGAAATTTCTGTGCAACAGCAGCATTTTTCTTCGCGTTTCTTGCTCGACTGTAAGTTGCAGCCAATTGTCTTGGCAAAACCTTTCTGGCGGGTTTCTGTGAATTTTAGAAATATGCGATATCTCTTATATTCGACATCCCTTCTTAGCTTGAAAACTAAACACCTACTTGAGCAGTTTTTTTCTTGACTTGCGCACTGTGCGTTCTAATATGTCTTGCTATGCATCTCATGTTTAACATAAATGTCGGTTTCTAGATGAAAATATTTAACATTACAACAAAAATTGATATAAAAGTGCGAGTGTATACTTATGAATGACAGCTAATTCATGGTTATAGGCATTGTAGGGTTAGCCTTACGGTTAGGGTTTTATTGTCTTTATAGGTCTAGGGCTTTGGTTAGGTTATGTAACAGGGTTATTCTACGTAGTCTATGTGCTGACTCAAGGAAAGGGGACATGTCCCGGCTCATTTCGTCATATCCCCTCCTTCCCTTCAAGTTCATGAAATATTTTCAGAGAGAATGAAGATTGCACTGCCGAACGCCATTGTGGGTTTTAAAGGGAGTGAGGGAACCTTGCATTCTCGATCACTTAATGGAGTCTTGTTCATAGATTGTCAATATTCTTCAGATAGATTTTCCCTTTTCTGAGCGAAAGTGGAATATAAGGATTGAAAGAGGAGGTTGACATGAAATTTGAAATCTCATGCGATCTACCATTTTCTTCCCCAAAAATGTAATTCTAATGAACATTTAACAATGCATACATTATACATCAAAATTCCGGAAAGTTCCGAGTGAACTATCGAAGTACGTTAGCTACAGTCTTTCGAGTTTCCGAATTTGTGTATTGACTTTGATTGGCATTGAATATTTGTCCATCCCATTTGAAAAAATCCTCCATCTTCCCTTGATACTGTTGCTTCACATCGTATCATCTTCTACATTTAACAATTACTTCGCGATGTTACAACAAAAATACAGTTTAAGGTTTTTCTTTATTTATTATACAAACCAGAACTTGCACATATAATGTAATCAAAACGTAACAGTGCGACTGCGCATAGACTTTGCCTCTGATATAAAACAAATGGAAACGTGTAAATTTTAGGATAATTTTCTAAATCATATGGTTATATATTAAATCATAAAGAAACTAGCAGTCGCATTTTAATTTTTTATGTGACTACCCTTCCCCTCCTCCCCGAGTTTTTTTTTCTTTTTTCTTTATGCTGACAAAGACTATCGTACATCGACTTATCAATTTTTATTAGTGCATGCAGTTCAGAGTCCATTGTCCTCCCTAGACGACCGACTCCTCGTCACTTGCCCTGTCCCGTCATTTTGAGTCGCTTGTTCAATTTGGCTCTGTTTTAGCCGAGGACTTCTTTCTCAAAGATCTTGCTCTTGTATTTTTAAACCAGATATAAACAGCTCTGTAAGTAACAGGGTTCTTTCCTTTACGTATTTCACTAGAATTCAACTCGTCGACATAATTACTTATCATTCTTTTACTTGGAACCGGATTCTCTTGGAACCAAAGTTTTAATAATGGCGTTTCAAAGGTCCTGTCAAATTGTACTCTGACCCTTGAAAGTGGTGTAGTTTCATCTCCTGAACTTTTCACATGATCTTCTTGAACGGAGTCCATTTGAATACTGTCATTGAAAGCTTGTGTGGGAAGGTCGTTGGCAAGTTGTTCAATAAAGTGAGGTGTAGGTTCTGTTGTTTTGGGCGACGATTCTTCGAGTGAAAAATGAATTTCTGTGTTTTTCGATGACTGTGATGATAACTTATATCGTTCAGTATCAGACGTCCCTTCTGACCGAGTTTTTACAAGTCGCGTGTAATTCCTGGAATCCGATGTRTAATTGACAGTTTTCTCAAGCTGACATGACGAATGCAGAGGCAAAACTCCCATAGACCTTGACACAGAGTTTAGTTGTTCATTTTCAGGAGTTTGAGTCTGTTTATTTTCTTGTATGGGTTTAAATTGCTGTGGTATCGAAGGGTCATGAAAATGACTCGCAACCAAAGTGTTTAGTCTGTTTAAAAGATGTTTTATTTCTTGAACATTTGAAATACTGCAGCTACAATTTTTTAACTGTAAATGAAAAAAAAAGGATTTACATTCATATTTTATCACTTCATATTTTATCACAATCATCACTTAAGTCATAAGTACTGGGTCTACACTAGAATTCTTATATCTGTTGTCATTATAATCAGATTGTCCACAACTCTTTGAAATACGAAAAAGATTCAGGGATGTGATTCAGGGGTTTTTCGAGAGGGGGTTCCAGCTGGGGTTCCAAACTGTTGGACTATCTGAAAATGTATTACCCTTTTGTTTTGGTATATATTTACGTATTTATATACATGTATTTAAGTCTCATATTTCAAATTCTGCCAAGCAAGGGGAATTTTGGAAACCCTGGAACTTCCCTCTTGTATTCATGACTTCGCACAAAAATGAAAACTTTTACAAAGGATTTTCAGGAGATAATTTGATCACAATTGACCTCTTTAGCTTTGATCCTATTCATCTCATTACAGACCCTTGGGAATTCAATTCCTATCAATGCTTGGGAAGAAATAAAAGCAAATAGCCACTCAACCCAAGAGTGTCAATTCTCCCAAAACCTTACCATTTCTTGAGGTGACTTGCTATTCAACTCCTCATGGACTTCATTGGAATTACATGGAATAGGGGACTCTGGCGTTTCGGCTTGAGATAAATGTGATCTGTTTAGAAGGAAATATGGAAATGAGGAAGCTGTACAGTTGATGGAAGCCATACACATATACTCAGAAAATACAACTAAGGAAAGGGTCAAATGTTGAATTTTACACGTACCTAATTCAACACATGATAATGAATAGATTGGAATCAGCACATATGAAATTTAATGTCTGGCCAATGTCTACTATACTTTTCTTTTTGTTTTTATTTTAGTTTGAAGTAGTCTCTTCTAACAGCCGCAACCTCCAGTTTCGTCTTGTTGGGGAGGACATTTGACGAAACTGGAAGTCGCAGCTGTTAGAAGAGAATAAGCTTGAAGAATCTGAATAGTTATAGTAAAAAAAAAATTAAAAGCCTTTATCTGAATTGACATACATGTACTTATATAAAGTTACATAAACTGTATCTCTTAGTACCTTTGAGATCTTGGAGTCAGGCTAAAGGTAATCTGAAAATTGTCCTGTATGCCAGGAAATGCTTCTTCTACTGTTAGTGTTAGGTCATCTAGTAAGTCATCAATGGGTATCCATTTCCAGTTTGATCTTAGTTTTATCAACACTATAAATATTAATCAAATAACAAGACTTAAAGCTGAGCATTATGGTAGCAAATAAATAGAGGATATTACATGGGCGCGCGGAGATACGGATTTTATCTTCGAGTGTTGAAAAGATCTCTCACGAGTGAGCGTAGCGAAGATAAAATTCGTATCCCCAAGCGGACATGTAATATTCTATTTATCATATAATTTTATATGAAAGCAAATTATGCCGTAAAACACCTTTTTTCTTACTTGCATTATATAGAGAAACCTCGAATGTGTTATTTTCACTAGTGAAAATATCAATTTTACGAAATGGAGAAATATAAGTATTTCATAGATAATTATATGATAAAAGAGTATCTTCAATGTCTTCAGTGGCTAATACAGTAAGCTAAATGCTTCTTCTACTGTTAGTGTAAGATCATCTAATCAGTCATCGAATTTGGTCTTAGTTCAATCAAATAACAAGGCTTAGCATTATGGTAGTAAACAAAATTATTGGAGTATCTTCAATGTATTCAGTATAAGCTTTCTACTATTTTGCATCAGAGGAAGCAATTCAGAGCAAACAATTTCAGCTCCAATAAAAGTGGTAAAACTCATAAATATCACATAACCTGAGAAATTCAGTAGATATCAGACTTAGTGTGTCCTACACATAAGAGTTACCTTGGGCATCATTGACATCACAGAGCTCTCCTCCTTTTTTGATCCTTTCATTCAAAAAATAAGCCACTTGAATAGCCTCATTCTCTGCAAATTCTTCTGCTAGATCTTGCAAAAGACAGCCAGATTTTATTGGAATATTTTCAAATATTTTGTCACCGATTTCCAGATTGACTAAAATGGTATCATTAGTTCGCATCTCTTCTGAATTGAAATCATGGTTTTTTGTGTTCTTCGGCACCACACTCTGTCCATTTATTCTTTCCATTAAGGCAGAATTTAGAGGAGAGTTTGACTTTCCAAAAGAGCAACTTGGTCTGCCATTCCAATTGTCCTTCTTCTTGATAAACGAGCTGTCAGTGTTATCTTCCACAACATCCATTTCCATTGCACAGAAAAAAAACCCTGAATGATACTGCCAAGGTGTGAAAATCCAACTTCAGCTTAAGAAATCTTTAGTATAGCGTTGCAGGTGAAGTAAATCCAAAAACGCACTCACCAAAAAAGAGAACCCATTATTATAAACTAGAAAACAACGTGACAAAAAGCCATGCAGTCTTTCACCCAAGTGACAACCACTGTTTATGATGAAGGGCACTGAAAGACACAGTGCAGTTGATTTACTTAAGCTTAATAGACTTCTGAATGTACACATGTACTAGTTACTTTTTGTCAAGAATTGAAACATTAAACAACTGTTTTTTTTATACTGATTAAGATTCAGCTTCACGATCTTGTATTTCACTTTCTCTGTATTCAAATTTCAAAGCATCAATCACAAAATGAAAAAAAGATAATGCTTCACAAGGTAACGTTTTGAAAGAAAACAATGTGTGCAAGGCAGGATGGGGGATTTTTAAACCCCCCTGACATAAATATCGGGCAGTCCGGTGGTCAAAGTATCTATAACATAGCCAATGGGATGTTCTAGCGTTTTATTATGGGTTCTTGCGTAAAATTTTAGAAATCATTCAGAAACTAATCTGTCAAGTGACCTGTCGATCGATATTCAAAATTTCGCCAAAAATCGTTTCTCCAAGAAATCCTTGAAATCGCTCAAATAATAATTGATCTCAAAAGGTTATATAGTTGGTTATATCATCAAATCATAGAAACTACTTACCAAAATAACGTCTTGACTGCCAAACACCGCCATCAACAATGTTGTGGCCATGTTGAATGCTGATTGCACCGGCATGCTTTGCGGCGTTAAATCTAAAGGCACAGGAAGCCCAAGGCTTTTTAAAAGAGGAAATAGATTGCGGGGAACTTATTTGTCATTTTGGAAATGAAATAAGGGTGTGCATTAATTAAATGGCGATTCTTGTCGTCCCAAGATGAATACAGTAAACAAACAAACTGTGATTTGTTGAGTCTGAAAGCTGTTTTTTCTTTCGGCTTCTAATATACCCCGAAGCTTTATTGCTATATTACGCTTGTTTCACTCTGATGAAGAAAATCAACCGTAAGATTTAATGTAACATTTAATGTTAATGCGACACAAATCAACACAGGACCCACACATGCAAGTTGTTTAATTATCACTATTCCATATTTATTACATAATTAGACATTGAGCATTTAAAAACAAAAAATTTAAAACGCTCTATATCATCAGTGCAATTAACTGAATGTTGTTTCAGATTTACGGACACAAATATAACAGCATTTAAAGGAATTCGGTTATAAACGGCATTGACACTGCTGTCTACTAACAAGAGAAGATGTAATGTCTTTTACTGAAGAACATCCTAAAACAAAACAGCAAAATATGTTAGTGAAAACATAGAGCGGATTTCGTATGAGTGGGACACCGTAACCGCACGGTTACCGCACAGTTACCGGACCTGGCCTTCACAATTTTGGTGAACCAATGGGGCACTAGGATTTGGTTACAGTACGATTACGGTCACAGTACAGTACCTTCCGTTTCCCACTCATACGAAATGCGCTCTATTACTCGACACTTACGGAATATCCCACGATGCGACAGGGGCGTATATAGAGGGTGATGGTGCAAAGCCATATTTAGATTGTCGTCAGTGACGGGGTACCCATGACTTTGCCTTTCAAAGTAAATTAAATTTTAAAAAAATCAAAAAATCGAAATGGAAACGCTGATGCAACGTGAATATTCACGAAAAAACTTAATCAGTTTGAAATATTTTCTCGTTCCTCTGTGATTATATGCTTTTATAACACGATAAATTTCTATGATGTCATATTGTGACGACGTCATGGTGAGAATTGAGTATACAAGACCTCCCCCGCCCCCTCCCCCCTTAATGATGTGCGCCTCAATGATGTAAATAATATCCCAAGGCTCATATTCCTTCATTTTGGGTCAGGTGAAGTAAGGACCCGGAAACAATGTTGTAATGGATGCTGACAATCAATTCAAAGTTATCACATATTAACAGTGAACGAAAGAGTCGTTCCTTGGAGAATTACTCACCAGAAAGAATCATAGCTGTGCGTAGCTCAGCTCTTAGAAGCTCAAGAACTTGGTGAACACCTTCTGAACCCTAAGAAGAGAAAGAGCAAAAACGACTTAATCAAAGATACTACACCTTGCATATATGAATAAATGATGCACCTGAACAGCTAGTCCCCATAACACAGGCCGACCAATAAACACAGCACGTGCACCCAGTGCTAATGCCTTCAGTACATCAGTACCAAGCCTCACTCCACCATCCAAGTATACCTCAACTTGACCATTGACAGCTGACACTACTTCTGGTAGAGCATCAATCTATTGATGGACCAGTGTTTGATTATTTCTTTCTTTCAGTTACAATTGAACTGTTGTGCTGTACTTACAGTTGCTAGTACTCCATCCAACTGTCTACCACCATGGTTTGACACTATGATGGCATCTGCACCATGTTGAACAGCAAGTTTAGCATCTTCTGCTGTAAGGATACCTTTGATGATAACTGGTAGCTTGGTGATGGATTTCACCCATGATATGATATCCCAAGTTATACTATCATCGAGTACTTTATCTGGGTGAGACTCACTATAAGAGAAAATATACAGTGCAGCTATTAGAATCACTTTCTCAGCCTTAGTGATGAAGGTATAGACTAGTAGGGGATTTTCTTTTTTCGCTTCTCAGGCTAGAGCCTATAATCAAAACTAAAAAGTCTACGAAACCTAAAAAAACTGCTCAAGGAAAACATTGCCACACACGTTGCATCATTACTTACAGCTTTTGAGATCTCGAATTCGTTATCATAGGAATTTCTAATCCATCGAAGAAACCAGGCATTGCTGTGGCTCGTCTATTCCCAATGACGGTAGCATCTACTGTAAGAACAACAGCTTTAAACCCAGCCTTCTCTGCATCACGGATGAGACGTGTCATCTGTTGAACATCCTTTAATACATACAGCTGCAGCCACCTCAGACCTTGAAAAGGGGCGTTTGCGATATCATCGATCGATGAGGATGAATAGGTGCTAATACACACCATTGTTTTTGATCTTGCGCATGCTATAAACATAGTAAAACAACACTACTGATATCTGCAATAATGAGAAAATGGAACGAAGACACTAGGCAAGAATCATGAAAAAAGGGAGAATTATGGGAGAGAGATCAAATTTTCGTGGCCCCCACATGCTACGCTGTTGCTATGATAGAGTAGATCCGCAGACTGTAATGAAACACTTTTTAACTTGCTATATTCTTGTGGTTTATCGACATAACAACATTGCAAAATGGGGAGGAGGCAGGAGAGGGGGGTGCTGTTATAGAGCCTTAGTGACTTATTATCTATAACTCTATTCATGTAGTTTAAAGTAATTATATCCTTGTTACCAATTGCACTACCAACTTCGCCATCTTGGTGTGCCATCTTTTGAAACCCAGTGGGTGCAGCACATATTGGCATACTGATCTGCTCTCCAAGGACAGTAGTCGACATGTCCACTTCTGTTATCCCCCGAAGCATTCTGGGTCTTAACCATATTCTTCCATAAACGGAAAAAGTTAAAAAGAAAAGATGGGAGAAAGTAAAAAGAAAAGATTGAAGAAAGTAAAAAAAAGATGGGACAACTGTCTTCATACCGTGAACAAGTATCATATATATCATTTTACATTAACATATCCATGTATCAAACGGTCTCCCATGTCATCAGTATTCATGAGACTATCTATTGATTGTAAGCCGCGTGGCTGCCAATTGCGCCTTAAACAGCGGTCCGTGTGAAATGATCTATACATGTGAAGCGCCTTTGAACTCAGGGGATATCGGCGCTATATAAATACCACATATTATTATTATTATTATTACTATTGTTGAGATCAGACGTAGGAAATATACCATGTCAAGAGGCTTCTCTGTGTCTCTCTCTCTTTTTTTTTAGTCGCCGCTTTGCTTTGCTTTGCGGTGAAGAAGAGAGAAATTCTTTATACAAAAAAGAGAAAGACACAGATAAGCGTTTGGAAACAGGGTATAGGAAATATTATTTTAGTTCTATGTATGTGAGCGAGTACCTGTAACTTAACCTCTATGAAGGTCGCTGTTGATTGATTTTTAATAACGGGATTATTACGTGTCGTAACATTATGATTAAAACTCATGCAACCAGAAAACCACCAAAGTTCGTGTTTCAAGCGAAGATAAAAAGATTTTTCATTCGATCTCCAATCAAAAACAGCAATCGTGACTTTATTAGGGGACTGCATATGTGATGAAACTACTATCGGGAGAAATTTTGTCGATAGACTAGAATGTCACGTACCTTTTGAAAGCATTGACGTTATCTCTTAACGTAAACTCTTCGTCGGCTCCTCCAACAAAAAATCTCCGAGCTCTATCGCTTAGTCTTGGTATTGCCTTCTTCTCGAAATCCTCCAAGCAATACGCTTGAACAGAGGAATCTTTGGAAGACATTTTCACTGGGTACGACGATCACTCAGTAATCGATCACACCACAGGCAACCCAAGCATGAGGCTCTAATTATGTAAATGACGTGTTATTGTCATTTGATCTTGAAAAAGAATATAATCTCCATGTGTAATTGGGCTTGGAACTCCAGAATATGCAATACATAAACTAATATATTTAGATGGAGCGAAATTCAACGCCTGCTTGCCTTAAAGATATCGAAAAAAAAGCAAAGAAGAGTCTCCCGGAGACGACCGTTGATTACTATGGTGTTGGGGCCGATGAAGAGGTGACTCTAGCAGACAATATCAAGGCCTTTCAAAGGTTATTTGAATTGCATATTTAAATATACTTTGCAATTTCATTCGTATATCCGTTTTCGATAGCATATGGAATCGTGAACTCTAGCGATATTGACAATCATTCATTACTCAAGAACAGTTAATATAGGTTCCATCAAAAGCAATGGAAACCTTTGTCAATCGCTTACGTATATTTCAAAATAATGAGCAAGGTATAATTTTACGAGATTGGAACTGTAAACTTAGCATATTTCACTGTGTTTTCACACAGCGGTAACCTTGCGTGACAACTAGTTGCGACGTTCTCAGAGCGTTTACTCGGGCTTTAAATAAAATTGAACTTAGAAAAAATAAATTGCAATTTCCTCTCTCTAGTATTAAACAGACATGTCGTCTGTATTTTCCAGGATAAGGTTAAGACCCAGAATGCTTCGAGGGATAACAGAAGTGGACATGTCTACCACTGTCCTTGGCGATAAAATCAGTATGCCTATTTGTGTTGCCCCAACTGGGTTTCATAGATTGGCCCATCCAGATGGTGAAAAGTCTACAGCAAGAGGTAATGAGGAAAGACACTGATAGATTCGATCTGGTTAACCCTTGATGGTATTATTGTCACGGAAGAGAAACTACATCCCTGCAATAGCATAAAATAGAACAGTATTTCCGAAACTACTACATTCAACTCTCGCCCTTACAGACACACAGCTATTACGTGCCACTCGATATCACGGGCAGGAAATATTGAATCCCCGGCGAAAAATGCAAAAATGACTGAAAGTAACCCTCGCTACTTCGGACACTATAGTACGGTCCCGAGGGCGGGTGTCCGTTATAGCGAGAGTTGACTCTCTCTCTATATATATTGTTACTGTGTACGGTTAGCGCAGGTTTCATGAATGTGTGCAATTTAATTTAATGTTTTATTTGACGTCAATACAGGTTAATATATATGTATGACCATGTGGAGTACGGTACTTTCATACCGTTTACTTTAGTGAATTTCTCAATTCAATGTTGTGTATGGTGTAAGGTGATTTTTTTGACATAAGCCGTGTGTTCTTGCCGGTATCCGTACTGTTGTACAGTCATATCGCGTCTATTGTCCATTTCGTGCTCCACCCCGTTGCACAGGCATACCGCGGTATCTGCACGTTAGTTCCTTTCAAGTTGTCAAAATGAATCCCATCCCTTCCCTAGCTGTGCCTATGTCGCCCGTCCTGTTTCATTGTAATGCTTCTGGCGAGCATGTTTCCGGAGTAATGTTTAATATATTTTTCAGCTTGTACAAGATCAGATACCTGCATGGTTCTTAGTATGGGCGTAGGTTTTCCATTGGAAGATATTGCGGCTGCTTCCCAAAGTGGCCCTCGCTGGTTAAATCTTTACATACTTCACAACAAGCAATGGATGAAAACACTGATTCTCAAAGCCGAGAAATTAGGTTTTCATGCTCTGGTCGTCACTGTGGATGCCACTGTCATGGGAAATAGGCGTTCAGTTATAAGGAATAGAGGTTTTAAACCTCAATTTGGCTTACCAATGCCACTTATTACAGGACAGAAGGATGTGGTGTACGTATTACCTTTGGTGAAGACTTAAGAATTCTTGCTCTATGTCCGTGTCATTACTGAGATCTTTTGATACCCTCAAGTCTAAGGGCTGATTTAAAAGGTTTTCCCTTCAAACAGATTTCCGGTTTGTTATCCTCCTATGATATATTTTCAGACTGTTTGTGTCATCTGCACAGGTCATCGTTTGCCCACCACAATGAATTCGACAAAACCATAACATGGGATATCATATCGTGGGTGAAATCCATCACCAAGCTACCAGTTATTATTAAAGGTATCCTTACAGCAGAAGATGCTAAACTTGCTGTTCAACATGGTGCAGATGCCATCATAGTGTCAAACCATGGTGGTAGACAGTTGGATGGAGTACTAGCAACTGTAAGTACAATACAACAGTTCAATTGTAACTGTAAGAAAGAAATAATCAAACACTGGTCCATCAATAGATTGATGCTCTACCAGAAGTAGTGTCAGCTGTCAAGGGTCAAGTTGAGGTATACTTGGATGGTGGAGTGAGGCTTGGTACCGATGTACTGAAGGCATTAGCACTAGGTGCACGTGCTGTGTTTATTGGTAGACCTGTGTTATGGGGTTTGGCTTACCAGGTGAATTTTCAAAACATTTTTGTTTCTAATATTGACGACTATTAGTCTTATAGCAACAGTTGAACGTTGGGATCTTATTTAGCATCGGAATAATCCCGATATTCAAGCATTTCCTATACTTATCTGAATAGCTTAACATATAACAATATATAAAAATGCTTTTTAATTAATATTTCAGGGTGAAGAAGGTGTTCACAAAGTTCTTGAGATTCTACGCACTGAACTGAAGACAGCAATGATTCTATCAGGTACACAGTACGCATGCGCTCTAAACCTCTTGTATTGAATCCGTAACATAATAGTTAAGTTGTCCAAAAATTCTTATACAATCCTAATGATGAGAATTTTACAAGTTATGGTAAAAAGTGATTTTGCAAAGGCGAAGGTTTCAATAAAACGTAAGCCCATGCAAAAACGCAATGCAAAATGGCAATCCTGCATGGAAGGTGCAATTTGATTTTGCAAATTGTCTTTCAGGATGTTCTTCTGTAGCTGATATTTCAGCTTCTCTTGTCACCAAACTATGTCAGTGTCATTTGTAGAAGGAATCGTTGCAAGATTACATGGTTTTCTCATGCTATAGGCTTCATAATCGTATTTACCAGAAGATATTCGTTGTTTAATCAATAATCACGTGAATTTTTGAGCGTCGTCGTCTTCATCTTCGATATTCAGTGCCATCATTGCCTGGCTGCAATTACCTCCATTTTTTTGGACTTGTTGGACCGTATCTGGCATGGATGTTTTGCTTGTTTCGGGTAGTAACAAACACAGTATTCCACAAACTACAGCAGCCACTGCCATAAAACTGAACGGCATTAGAGCATGTACACGCTCCTGTAGAAAGAAAAAGCATTACGTTATTGCTACACTAGATCATTTTGTCCCATTTTCGTTATTTTCTTTGAAAAAGTGTTATAAAAAAGCAAAGCAATTTTACGAGATTTACATGTAACGAAGAAAAACATACACGAATATCCAAGCATTTCAGATTAAATATTTAGGAATTGGCCATACCGAATATATGATATAAGGTGCGGTGGCTGAGCCAATTCGAGCAGCAGACGTCGATGTGCCCATAGCGGTATTCCTGTGTCACAATAAGAAAAACGCTTTGAATATGCTCTATATCATGCAAAGATGCATCTATTTTAGCTCTAGATGTCTTCATGTTAGTATTGTATGTCAAGGTAGTGTTTGTGAATGCTTGTATCCATTGAAAACATTTTGTACCTGACCACAGTGGGGAACATTTCGCTAGTGTAAATATACACTCCATCGAAGACAATGATGATGAATACTTTGCCGAGTACCATCGATGAAATGACTTTTCCTGCCAGGTAACCTGCGGTTGCGGATAAAAGGCATTTTTTATTGCTGACCAATCGCTACATTCTATATTTTGTGCACTGAGAAATAGTGTTGGAATGCAATTATATTTTGATTGAAAATTGTGGACATTTTTCTAATGGAATGACTAAATCAGTGCGAATAGTCCTTTTATATGTTTATCTCGTGTTTTAATTTTGGTCATACGGACCCCGTAAAACCTACCATCACCGCCATCATCGTAAAATTTTAGTACAGCACCTACAACCATGGCCAAGCCAGCCAACCAGACGTTGGCAACGATCGTCTTTTTTCGTCCCATTCTGTGGATTATGAAGCAAATTGTATGGCAAGCTATCAAATTTTAGTTTACGGGTGGAATTTCCGACGCTCGCGCGCGTTCAAAGACTTCATCTTCCGGCTAGACTCTCCACTTAATCCATTCGCCTTGCTTTCAGGCCATAAATGTATATAAGTAGACAGATAATATCATACTTACTTATCAAGCAAGAATATCCCTATCATCATCCCAATGCCTTCACACACAGCGCTAATGAAAAAATTCAGGTACATGTTTCCACCAACGGATGGAGTGCTTAGAGAAATGCCATAGTATACTAAGCCAGAAACACCCCTACAAAGTCAAAGATTTTAATTTTAATTGTAGCTCCAGCGGGGTGCACTATAAATTGGTATAGTTTTCTATGGATCCACACAGGGTTCCCGCTTGTGTCATTGTACCACCACAGGAAACCCAATATCTGCTCGAAAATCAAAAAAGCGCCAAAACATTTTTTTGAAACGTCGAGATTTTACCTTCAAACATCCTCAAAATTGAAAATATTAAAAGAAAAAATTGAAAGAAAAACGTCCACAGAAGAGCAAAATCAAAGCACAGAATATGAGATTCCCGCCATAACTGGGTGATTTGAGAAAATGCGACTAGCCAATCAGCGCAAAGCTGACAAGCTTATGTTGTAAACATAACCCTCCGACGGGAGGAATTTGCACAGCAAAACTCGACCCAGTGGAGTAGGCTGCCTGTCATTTTATTCTATCCGAAAAATCGAAGCTAAAACGCAAAGAGAAATTGGAAATCTTTATAAAATAGCTTTTAAATGTCAATCAAATATTTATCGTTTTAGAAAAAGAATTTTATCTTAAAAATGAAAAAACAAATAACTTTTTCTTTAATACCACGAGACTCCCCTCCCTGATAGAAATAATTGTTCTGTGTTCTACGCGGGTTCTCCATTGCATGCGAAGCAATGGCCGACTTCACGAAGACTTCAGAAGGTCGTTGAAGCGACGTTCAAGTCCAAAGTATCTTAGGAGGAATCATTGCAAATCATGTTTTCTTAGCTCTTGTTTCCTCTAAGCTTTGAGGTATCTACAACTTCACTGGAAGAGCTAGAGCAGCTTAGGTCCACGTATTCCAATAGAGTTAAAGCGTTTGTTATTTTTGGTACAAACAACGGTCGTAGTTCAATCATTCTTTGTCGCATTTTCGGCAATAAGCCGCAAGCGTGCTCGACGATTTGACGTTATGTAACAGGCCAGTTACACATTTACTAGCTCTGACCTTACAACGAGAGCTAGCACGGTGACTGGGGTTTTTCGTGTAATGTCTTGATAGCGACTGTTTATGTCGAAACGACTCAAAACAAAATTCCATCGTGAAAAAAGTTCGACTAAATTCCCTTCTGAAAAACACGTGTGTATTTAAGGTGGAAAATGTTTCATGATGAGCATTCAATTCTTAAAGGATTAATTCTATAATCATTTTGTTTAGTTATGTAAATAAATTTAACACGACTTGTACTGTTTGCCTGAGTGAAAGGCGAGATGCGGGTTTTCCCTTTCTTTATTTACACTTTTAAATATGACCGCTTAACAAAAATGCACGGGCTCACTGGCTTACAACCTTGGCGAATTCATATGCAGGCCTGGTCGCAAATCAATCACCCAGAACTACGACGCGTTTGCACATCCGGGAAATCGATTTGCGAAAGTCGAACCAATTCATTTAGTCAAGTATAGCAACAAGAGGGCTCAAAAAAAGGGAAAACGGTATCTCTTTTTACTTCACTATGAATAGCAAGAAAAAGCTGATGTTCTCTCGGAAATACAGCAAAAATATGAAGGAAAAGTAAGGATATTTTTTAGGGTTTTTTGTCAATAAGTGTGGACGTTTGTTTACCAAGACCATACCGACATCCCTGGATAGCGAGAGATTTAAGACAAAATATCGACAAAATTAGCCTTAAATCATGTTAAATGGCTGTATGAACTGCTGTATCTTATGTTTGAAATAAGTATGGTGCTGTTGAAGATGATGTTTGGACGACAGGGCTAGCTTTCAGGCATGAATTGGATGCTTTAATGTTGCTGTCAGTTTTTATACCGGCGATAGTACAGCATTTTCACGGTATATTAAGTTGGAAAGCACTATTTATCAACAGTTCAAGATGAAGGTAAAAACTAATTAAGACTTACGTAATTAAGTAAGCTCCGATATTAGGTGTTACCTGATTTTTATATTATCAATATTATTGTGCTTTCTTTCCTGCCATGATCCAGAAATGGGCTATTGCATTTAATATCCGTTCACCCCCTGTTGACGACCTCAAAATTCTTCAGGGGTTGAACAAAATGTTAACAAATTCTTAAGGGGTGTGGTCAAAACGTCACTAATTTCTTTAGGGGTCGAAGAAATTTTATGACAGGGGCCTAAACGAAACCCAGCCTCCTCAACAGGAAGCCGTACGTTTTTTAGAAGGGTCTGAATAGATCAAATGAATATGTTTTATGAAAAAATACCTGACGATAAAGTAAAAAAAACTTTGATTTATTTTATCGTAATATGAAATCTGACATGTTCAAATAAACTGAGCAGGAACCTCTCAGTATTGGGGGGCACAGGCCTTCCTTGCACCCCTCTTGCATTCTTCCCTGATCTTATTATGAATTTGCTACAAAAAAGACAACACGAAGGGCTGCGTACAAAGACTTACCAGCAGTACCATGAAATAAGGGTTCTCAAACCAATCGTTTTTGTCGCAAACAGATCTTTTATGTTCCCTAGTTTTTGGTTTTCCGTTATTCCGGACTTCTCTAATACAACATCGTCATCAGGAGGGACTTTCTTGTTAACTCGAGCAATATCCTGTAGAACTTTGATTGCTTCGTCCGTTCGCCCCTTAACTATCAGCCATCGTAGTGATTCAGGAGAAAACCTGAACAGATTACAAGAGAGATTCCAGTGAAAACCTACACAGATTTTTTGAAAGATTGGTAAATACGAATTTCATCACGATGACCAATGTAGAAACTTACCACCAGAAAATCACAGAGACTACGCCTGGTACACTTGTGGCGATGCTTAAGGTACGCCAGCTTGGAATAAGATATCCTAAAAGTGCTAACAGCACTAGAGCGAGTACCCATGCATACCAGATAGAAAATCCAACYCTGCTACGATACGGCTCACCGGTGTACTCAATCACCAATACAAATGAGCAAATGGTAAAGCCACCTTATGAAAGAGAAGTGTATGTGGCTTTAGGTTAACTGGGAACCCGCGAAGGATTGAKTGTATCCACTCGCTGCACTGAGAGATGCATATTTTACGCAATGCTTCACCATAGGCCTTTTCTGAGATAGCATTTTACATTGCATTGTGGTCTAGATTCGGTACAAACATCTTTTTCTCATGCTGCCAAATATGGCGTTTGTACTGAAGGTAGACCACAATGCACCATGATTTTTCAGAAAAGATCTATTCAGCTCCATCCCTCCCTTCCTCCTATCATTGCTCTAGTAGGCACCCAAAGAACATCTAGAAAGTATGCSTAATTTCGAAACACAACTTTGGAATAAGGAAGACGGGGAGTAGGGAAATAAATATTTAGATTCTGCGATTTTACAAAAGTATCAAAAGATTGTAGACCATCAGAGCGTCAGACTAAATTCAGAATATGAGAATCCTACATTAATTTAGGCTCGAAAATCCGGAATTCAGACACAATAGAAACGGAATTCGATAAACGAGGAATCGGCAATTAAAATGAGTAACTGTAAGCGAGTCACTGACGGCTTGCGTATTATCGTAGTTACTTACCGACACCAATTCCAGCAAGAGACCTGAACAATGCAAATACCCAGTACGTTTGAGCAAARGCTGATAGGAATCCACAAAGACATGCAAACAAACCAAACGGATAAACCACRGGTTTTCTTCCAAATTTGTCACTTACAAGACTGGACAACATAGAACCAAAGATGAACAGTAGAAATGTTGTYGAGTTGACAATGCTTACRTACACAGCATTATCGCACACCAAATCCCACTAMAAGAGAAAATAGCATAAGATTGGTCGATAAATTGGTAAACAACTATATTATGCTAAATCGTATCTGTGTGACAGCTAGTCTTCATAGTTCTCTATGAATGACTACTTGAAAGTTTGATGATCTTTTATCTTTTTCYACAAGTGGCAAAATTAAAGAAAGTAAGAGATGAATGAGACCTTCATAATACCCACTTAACATATCAATCATTAAAAGTGATAGCACAAGTAGTACAGGATGAGAGAATCGTCAACTGAAACCATGCATAACATGCATTATAGTACATTCAACAAAATAATACATTCTGATTGGTCGAGAGGAKTACAATTACRGCGTTAATTGTACTCCTTAATTAAGTTGAATGTWCTATAAACAAAAAATCGCACAACCTCTCGYACAATTTGGAATTAATAGTCACTCGTAATGTTTTGAAAGTTCTCAAATTGCACTCGTCCTATCGGGCTCGTGCAATTACTGGCAATTACGAGAACTTTCAAAACATTACTCGTGACTATTAATTCCAAATTGTACTCAAGGTCGTGCGATTTCCTATACTAACAACCTGATGATCGCACAAGTTGCGTAAACCTCAAGTAGCTTTTAGTCCTTGTAAATATATCGCTCTACATAATTCACAAACATACTTTCATTTTAATAACCTAGATATWACTTCTGGGGAGGAGGGGACAAAGAGAAGGCGCGATCAGAGTAGCGGCTACCRCGACAAAACATAGTCTCCCATACTCCCCATCCGCTTATGCATGCAACTTCAATGATGCACATGTYTKTTTAACTGAAAACGCCATAATTGTATGTGTTTATAAAGATTYGGGATGTTTGAAATGCCTGTGAAATAATGTTTCACCTCGGTGACGATAGAATCAAAGTCCCTTTCCACTGAAAATTCCCAGTCACTACGTTGTATTTTACACCGAAGGTCGAAGTTATCGTCGCCAAGYTTGAACGTCCCGTTAAGAGTACATGATGTTGAATTAAGAGTGCACTTCCACGGTGGCTCGGCTGTACTGAATGTCATTACCATTAGCACCATTGAGACGAAGAGACACATGTATCCCAACATAAAACACAGCCTAAGTTGATACCAACCAAAKCCACCAACAGATTCGAGGACCTTTTCTGTACTGACAGCCATGATGCTCCCCTAGATATGCTCAACAGATGGCACAAATTCTGTCATGCATGTTAGTCCCTCTTGTTGTTAAGAGTCTGAACGGCTACATGCATGAATTCAAACCAAAATCCTTTGTTTTAAGTCCTCCAGGGAAAAGAAAACAAAATAGTTAGCCGTACCGCGTAGGGAGGACGAAGACGAAGAAGAGACAGAGATAGCTCGAAACAATATACTTGATCTTTTGGAGGGACGACTAAGGGTTGAACTAATTGTAACCTAAACAAGTTTTGCGTATATAGATATGGTGATTTGATGATATCATTTGTCAAGAAAATGATATTGATGATAAATCAAAACGTTAGTGGGAAATTGTAATAAAAATGCCGTCAGAAAACCATTAAAAACTCATTTATTGACTTCTTTCTACGTCCAACCGAGATTTATAATTAAGAGTTTCTTGTTGTGAAGTTTACAAAGAATCAAATTGAAATAAGTATTTGTTTGAATACAAAATTAGACGTTCGAGATGGTCAGCAGAGCGGGGCGAACATTTTCATTGTGACATCTGCGCATCATAATCAAATTTATCCAAGCATTAATGTATACCTCTCAGGGAAAAAGGAAGTATAATAGATAGCTTAAGCATGACGTTCGCGGCAAGCAGCAGACGGCAGAAAAGATCACGTGACCTGCTTTTTGGGGGTTTACCGTTACAGTTTCAACGCGAGAGTGGGTTATTTTGGGGTTGCCATAATCGTGAAAAGCCGCTCTTTCAAATGACTACCAAAAGCACAAGGTCAGGCACGAAATTCTTAGGTCATTGGTTCAGCTCTGCCTTTAGCCGTTTGCCGTAAACGTGTTGCTAGTCATACTAAACTGGATATTTCGATCAAAATTAATATGTATCTCATGATAGAGCGCCCCCAAACAATTAATATTGGAATCTTTTGTTTGGCCGTTTTGCCCCTTAAAAAATAGAAGAATTGGTGAGATTAACGTTTGTATGACGTTGTATGTGAGGGAAGCCAACGAAACGCAAGTAATCCTGTGAAAAGTACTGTGAACTGAATATGGCAAAGAATCAGACTATGTTAGAGCCATTTAATACCCTGTGATTCCAGRGGTAAACCACCCATATGAAACTTAAGAAAGGTGATGCTCACCTAGAATATGACGTTACGCCGTTGAAGTATTCAGTCTATGCACAGCCAACTCTATAAAATGGACTATTTAAGAACGTATCTCAAAGTTCTGATTATATTTGTATATCAATTCTAACATGAAATGCCTTCTACTTGTATGACAGGTTATGGTGGTGAAAAGAGTTTTTTTTTTTTAATCTAGAAAGGGAGAGCAAAACTTAGTTAAAATAAATATTCTTGTTCAAGAGGTGACGAAGCTTCACTAATTATTGAAAGCAAGTGTACAGTTGATGTAACCATCATCGATCTGCATGACTTTTTGATTGSCGTCGTCTTCATCCTTGATGTTTCATAGTCTCGTCATTTGCGCAYTATCAYTTTCATTATTACCAGTAKTGTTATAGACTTGTTGGATCGTATCTGGCATGGATGTTTTGCTTGTTTCGGGTAGTAACAAACACAGTATTCCACAAACTACAGCAGCCACTGCCATAAAGCTGAACGGTATTAGAGCATGCACACGCTCCTGTAGAAAGAAAAATCAATTACGTTATTGCTACACTGGATTTTTTATTTTATCGACTCGTTTCGTCCCATTTTGATTGTTTTCTTTTCGATAATGTTACCAAAAGCCAAAGCAATTTCACTGAGCTTTAAGTTTTCACGAAGAGAAAACATGTACATGTTTCGGGACACTAGAATTTCCAAGCATTTCAGATTAAATATTTAGGAATTGGCCATACCGAATATATGATATAAGGTGCGGTGGCTGACCCAATTCGAGCAGCAGACGTCGATGTGCCCATAGCGGTATTCCTGTGTCACAACCAACAAGAAAAATGTTTTGAATAGAGCAAAAAATCATGTGGGAAAACCGCCGTTTTAGCCATTGCGCATGCTCTATATCATGAAAAAAGTGCATCTATTATAGCGCTAGAAGTATTCATGTGAATATTGTGAGATGAAATCACTTGATAATGCCAAGGTAGTTCGATTTTTGAATGCTTGTACCTGACCACAGTGGGAAACATTTCGCTTGTGTAAATATACACTCCATCGAAGACAATGACGATGAATACTTTGCCGAGTACCATCGATGAAATGACTTTTCCTGCCAGGTAACCTGCGGTTGTAGAAAAAAAGGCATTTCTTATTGCTGACCAATTTCTATTTTATATATTTTTACAAGGACAAATAGAGTGGGAGCTCAATTATAT